TTTTTTTAACTGTAGGAGAAGCTGTGCATCTCAGTCTGTCTCATTAATAACCGGAGCGAAATGGAGAAAGAGTCCGAACCAAAATGTGTCAGTATGCACGTCACGTACACGTGACATCACTAAACCTTTGGAGGGTTTATCTTGAATTTCTTTGGAAGCCAAAATCACAACTGACCCTAAAATCACATTAACGCCCTCACGATGGTTCTAGGACTTTTCCATCTGCAGGTGAAGCTAAGTAAGAGTGAAGAACAGCAGCTTCACTCCGTGAATATTCCTGTTTCATTTTTCTCGTGAGCCTGCATCCTCGATCATCTCCTGTCCAGTTTGCTGTGAAGCTCTAGCGAACGAAATAATCCAGATTTGCTTCTTTTATATCTGAACAGCGATGCAGCGTGAAAGCTTGTTGCTTCATCTCGATGACATGTCGGCGCGCTCGTCGTGTTCCCCCAGACTCTCCTCTCTCTGCTTGTTACTGATCTGGGTTTATTTCACGTTCATCACCGATGTTTAAATCAGACAAAGACGTATAAATCAGCATCCTGACAGCCAGAAACACACACACAGACTTCATTTCCAAAACAGTGTGCGTCCTCTTAAACAAAGAAGAAGGAACAAAGATTTCTGAATAATTTTTGGACCTTTTTAAAAAATCAGATTGTGTCAGTTTAACTGAGCAGCAAACACAAACCTCTCGTGCTGAGACCTGATAAGCTAACGTTACAGAGAAGTCTGATTCAAACAAAAAGTGAAATGTATGTTTTGTGTTTCTTCAAATGTAATGTAATATGTTTGTTGAAATAAACCCAACCATGACTTTTCCTACAATCCTGGTTTCACGTTTCATGATTTCTTAGCAGAGGCGCTCAGACTGATGCACCTGCTGCTGCACGTTTTGCATCTTTGCATCTGCCTGCAGCGCTGCCCTGTGCACAGAGATCAGCGCATGCACATGCGTCTGCACATGAAGCAAATCGCTCCTTAAACTATTCAGCTGTCACAATTATCAACCACACAGACGATTCAAAAGGCTACTTCTGTTTGAAATGACCAATTCGTTTTTATTTAGAGACAAAGATATTATCACACACGTGTTATGGTTGACAGATGATGACAAAAAAAAAGTAAATAATTCAATCACACGTACGAACTAACTGAAGCACTGACGAGCAGCTTTCTTCTTGCTGTCAGTGTTTCTGTAAGAAGCCACGAGCAGAAAGCAGCTGTTCATGGGCTGCGTTCAGTCTGCAGGTCTTGATGCTCAATTCCGATTTTTTGATCAAATCCGATTTTTTTGTCTGCTCGTTCAAACTACAAATAAAATGCGACAGCAAACGCGCTCTAGTGTGAACGCTCAAAGCGGCGCATGCGCAAAAGAAGACGTCACACACAACGCGCTCTGTTTAGACCCAGAGCAACAGTATGTTTGACT